TAAAAAAAAAAAAAAAAAAATTAAAAGAGAAAAAAAAAGAATATCTGAAAAGAGTGCTACAGTTAAAAAATGGTGAGAAACTAGAAGCTTTCCCACTAATATTAGGAATAAATCAAAGATATCCCCTCTCACCACTCCTTTCCAGCACTGTACTGGAAGCCCTAGCTAAGTGGTCCCCAACCTTTTTGGCGTCAGAGACCAGTTTCATGAAAGACAATTTTTTCACAGGCCGGGGGATGGGGGGAATGTGTGGTCAAACCTCACTGCTAATGTTAATTTGTATTTGTGGCTGTTCCCCAGCACTAGCACCACCACCTTAGTTCTACCTCATCAGGCATTAGGTTTTCATATCCCTCGCACATGCAGTTCACAATAGGGTTCCCACTCCTATGAGATTCTAATATCACCACTGACTTGACAGAAGGAAGAAAACTCAGGCAGTAACGTGAGCAATGCAATGTGGCTGTAAATACAGATGAAGCTTCTCACTTGCCTGCAGCTCACCTCTGGATGTATGGCCCAGTTCCTAACAGGCCACAGATGGATACTGGGTTGGGAACCCCTGCCCTAGCTAGCGTAATAAGACAGGAAAGGAAATAAAAGGTATTTAGATTGGGAATAAAGAAATAAAACTGTTTTTGTTCACAGATGACATAATTGTCTATGTAGAAAATCAAACAATTATACAAAGGTGGTAACAAATACAAGTTAATATACAAAAATCAATTGCTTTCCTATATACCAGCAATGAACAGGTAAGATCTGAAATTCAAAACACAATACAATTTACATTAGCACCAAAAAATATGAAACACTTTGGTATAAATCTTAACAAAATGTGTGTAAGATTGATATTAAGAAAACCAAAAAACTCTGAAGAAATAAATCAAAGAACTAAATAAAAATATTTCATGTTCACGGATAGGAAGACTCAATATTTTTAAGATACCAGTTCTTCCCAACTTGACCTGTAGATTCAAAACAATCCTAATCGAAATCCCAGCAAGTAGTTTTGAGGATATTGACAAACTGATTTAGAGTTTACATGGAGAGGCAAAAGGACAAAAGCCAGCATAATATGGAAGGAGAACAAAGTTGGAGAATGAATCCTACCCAACTTAAGACTTATTATAAAGCTATAGTAACCAAGAGACTATGATATTGGTGAAAGAATAGATAAATCAATGGAACAGAATAAAGAGCTCAGAAATAGATCCACATAAATATTGTAAGCTGATCTTTGACAAAGCAACAAAAGCAACCCTCCTTTGTCAAATAAAAAAGATAGTTTTTTCACCAAATGGTATTGGAACAATTGGATATCCACATGCCAAATAATATAGGCACAGACCTTACAATATAACTAAAATGGATCACAGATCTAAGTGTACAACACAAAACCAATAAAAATCCTAGACGATATCATAGGAGAAAATATGGATGAACTTGAGTATGGTGAATTTTTAAATACAATACCAAAAGCATGATCCACAAAAAATAATCAATGATATAGACTTCATTAACATTAAAAACTTCTGCAAAAGACACCAAACATTGTCAAAAGAATGAGAAGACAAGTTACAGACAGGGAAAAAATATTTGCAAAAGACATACAAGGGGGAACACAAAAAAACTCGAAATTATCTTTTGGAGGCTGGGTCCCTTGTAGTACAGGCCTCGCTTGCTAGGTAAGTGTTCAAGGCAACCCACAGGTATCATGTACCAGCTAGTTTTGTTGTCAGAGGCTGCGTTCAGCATCAGTGATTTTTCTGTGTGGCAAACAGGTGACTGGTTCTTCCACCAATGCACCTGCCACACTGCACTGTGCCTCACCCTCCCTATTCACCTGGTCTCACCTTGAGTGACTTTTTTTTTGTTTCTTCAGATTAAAAAAGTCCTCATAGGGAAACATTTTGCCAATGTGGAAGAAGTGAAAACAAAAAATGGCAGAAGCACTAAAAAGCATCAAAATTGACGAGTTCAAAAACTGTTTCAAGCAGTAAAAAAAGCATTGTGATAGTTGTACTGCATCAAATGGAGAATACTTTGAAGGTGACTGAAATTTAAACAAGTAAGAATAAATACACAATTTTTTATAAATTCATTTTTTGTGGGTTCCCCCTTGTATCTGATAAAGCACAGTACTAGTCGGTGTCCTATTAGGAACAGGGCTACACTGCTGGTGAGCAGAGGGTGAGTAAGTGAAGCTTCAACTGTATTTATAGCTGCTTTCTGTTGCTCACATTACCACCTGAGCCCTAGCTGTCAGATCAGTGGCGGCATTAGATTCTCATAGGAGAAAGAACCCTATTGTGAACTGCACATGAGAAGAGTCTGGATTGCGTGCACCTTATGAGGATCTAATGCCTGATAAGGTAGAGCTGAGATGGTAAAGTTAGTGCTGAGGAGTGGATGCAAATACAGATTAACATCAGCAGTGAGGTTTGACTGCACGTTTCTCCAACCCTTGGTCTGTGGAAAACATTATCTTCCACGAAACCAGTCCCTGACACCAAAAAGGTTGGGGACCATTGTGATAAAGGACAGTTATACAAAATACACAAATAACTCTTTAAAATAGCCATGTATGGTGGTGCATTCCTGTAGTCCCAGGCATTTGGGAAGCTGAGGCAGGAGGGTACGTTGAGGCCAGGAGTTTGAGGCTGTAGTGTGCTATCATTGTACCCATGAATAGCTACTGCATTCCAGCCTGGGCAACACAGCAAGCCTCCATTTCTTAAAAAATATATATGCATATTATATATTATATAAATGATATACATAATATATACATATATAAAACAGCAACTCAAAGTACTGCAAATTTAAAAATATAAGAAAAAACACAAATTAAAACTCAATAAGAAAATGAACAACCCAATGAAAAAGTGGGCCAAACACCTGAACAGAACCTTTAACAAACAAGATATACAGATGGCAAATAAGCATAAGAAAAGATGCTCCATAGCATAGGTCATTAGAAAAATGCAAATTGAAACAATGAGATACCACTACACACTTATAAGAATGACCAAAGTTCAGAACACGGACAACACAAAATGCTGGAGAGGACATGGAGCAACAGGAACTCTCATTCATTGCTCGTGGGAATACAAAATGGCACAGTCATTTTGAAAAACAGTTTGGCACTTTCTTATAAAACTAAACATATCCTTACCATACTACTCAGCAATCTCAATCCTTGGTATTTCCCCAAAGGAGTTGAAAATTTATGCCCACACAAAAACCTGCATATGAATGTTTATAGCTACTTTAGTTACACCTGTCAAAACTTGGAAGCAACCAAAATGTCCTTCAGCAGGTAAATGGGTGAGTAAACTGTGGTACATCCAGACAATGGAATAGTATTCAGTGCTAAAGAGAAATAAGGTATCAAGCCATGGAAAGATATGGAAGAACCTCAAATGCATACTACTAAGTGAAAGAAGCCAGTCTGGAAACCTGCCTACCATATGATCCCAATTATATGACATTTTGTAAAAGATAAAACAATGGAGACAGCAAAAAGATCACTGGCGGCCAGAGGTTATGAGGAAGGTAGAAATGAATAAGCAGAGCACAGAGGATTTTTAGGGCAGTAAAAATTTTGTATGATATTACAATGGTGGATATGTGTCATTATACTTTCATCAAACCATAGAATGTACAACACCAACAGTGACCTCAATGTAAACTATAGACTTTGGGTGATTATGATGTGCAGTTGTAGGCAAGTTCATCAATTGTAACAAATGCACCACTCTGGTGGGTGATGTTGATAATGAGGGAGGTTGTGCATGTGTGGGCACGGGGAGCCTATGGGAAATCGCTGCTCAACTTTGCCATGAAGTTAAAACTGCTTTTAAAAAAAATAAAGTCTATTAAAAATAAATAAAAACTTTCCAAAAGACACCGGAGGAAAATTTATATTAATTTTTATTTAAGCATATATATCATATAAAAGCTTTATTTCATAATTGTAAAGATACATAATTACTAATATACAATGTTTTAATCTAGTTTACCAATCATGAATACTTTTGGTCCTTGAACCTGCCATTATGTCCATCCCTACAGTTGGATGCAGAGTATAACTGCCTCCACGGAGTGGGAGCAAGAAATTAAGGGAACTAGGGAGACCCAGTCTCAGTTATCTCTGATGATGCTAAGAGGCATTCGGCACTATGAACATGCTATTTAAGCATAAATGAGAAAATAAACTATGAGTAATCTTCATGAAGTTTTTCCACATAAATTGTATTTCATATCTCTATGGCTTTATCAAGGTACATCTAAGGTACTTAATTACTACTGAGTCCTTAAAGTATCATCAATATCCAGCTTCCAATTTCCACTCTTTAAAATATTTCTCCATTGTGCTCCTAGATCTCACAGTGCCAACATTGACGGTAGGTATGATCTTCTGGGGCTTCAGCCACTGGACAAAGCGTTTCATTTCTAGGTAGCTGCTGTGTTCACTATAAGGAATTCCTGGAACAACAAAGAAAAGATATTGTCCACTAAAAATCAAACTAACAACAACAAAAAAAAATCCACAGACTCAAAATAAAATAAAAGAGAAAAGCATTCACAGTATTTTTGTAAAAAACTTTGTCATACTTTAGTTCAGATAAGAAAATTTGTTATCTTTTATGGATAAAAAAGATTAAAACATTAAAATGATACAAAACTTAGAATATTAGAAAATCTATTACTTCTCTATGTATATATCTAATGACATGCATTTCTAGAGAGTTCTATTTAATTAGGATTTTCTTCTTTTTAATCAATTGTTCTTTTTAGACACTTCACTCAACTACAGACTTCAGGAAAAAAATGGAAAAGATATGAGTCAAATGTGAAGAATAACAACACGAGACTCTTACTTCCAGAGCAAGAAAGCAGGTGCCAGTTTCCAAGCTCTGCACACATGAAAAAAAAAAAGAAAGCCGGGCTCGGTGGCTCAGCCTGTAATCCCGCGCCCTTGGGTGACTGAGGTGAGTGGATTGCCTGAGCCCGCGGGTTCGAGACCCACCTGGGCAGCGAGACCTCATCTCTACAGTAAATCAAAAAAATCAGCCGGGCGTGGTAGCGCATGCCTGTAATTCCGGCTACTCAGAAGGCTGAGGCGGAAGGATCGCCGGAGCCCAGCAGGTCGAGGCTGCAGTGGCCGGGAGCGGCCACTGCACTCCAGTCTGGGCGACAGAGTGAGATTCCAACTCAAAAAAAAAAAAAAAGAAAGAAAAAAATCAAATAGTAAAAATCCTCTTATCTTCTTAATTGAAGATCAAGTACCATACAGAAAGGGAGGAAGGGTCCTGTGTCATGTAACCTCAGGTGTATAGAAGCTGAGGGAAGGTCACTGGTCTGGTGACACATTAAACACATTTCCATCAGCCATCACTGCAATAAGCCAACTGTGAGGGCACTAGTAAACCTCCTCCATGGGAAGAAAATATTAAAGCCAAGTCTATCTCCTGTTGTCACAGATCTAATCCATCATCTTCTGCTTCCAGTTTCACACAGTCACCTAGTTTTCCAGTATACAACCACAGTACTCCACCTTCCAAGGAATTCTACAATTTCCTCTGAATGTCACTGGTCCCACAAGTGAGATGATCTGCATTAGAAAATATCTACCTACTAGTCAAGCTCCTTTATATCAGTTTACAATGGATTTGATACAGTTTTAGAGCTGTAGAGAGATTTGAAAACTCCTGAATTGTTAAATTCTTTGGTGCCTGTGTACCTGGATCTTAATTTTGCAACACTTTGTAAAGTAATTATAAACATTAAAAGTGAGGAAATTTAATAATGATACCATATATTGAAATATTTCCTTTGGTCTGGGGAATAACATCTGCTATACTAGATAACTGGTTAGAGTGTGTCCATCCTGTAGGTCGAAAAGCCAAAATCTGATCATATTTGCCACCACACTTCTTCAAATGACTCTGTAAACCCTGTCAAATAAAAATAGCATATTGATTTAATAGTCAGTGGAGATGGGTTATATGGAATAAAACAGAACGATTAAAGGTATTAGCCAGGCTCGGTGGCTCAGCCCGTAATCCCGCGCCTTTGGGAGGCTGAGGTGAGTGGATTGCCCGAGCCCGTGGGTTCGAGACCCACCTGGGCAGCGAGACCTCATCTCTACAATAAAAAAAAAAAAAAAAAAAAAATCAGCCGGGCGTGGTAGCACATGCCTGTAATTCCGCTACTCGGAAGGCTGAGGCGGAAGGATCGCCGGAGCCCAGCAGGTCGAGGCTGCGGTGGCCGGGAGCGGCCACTGCACTCCAGTCTGGGCGACAAAGTGAGACTCCAACTCAAAAAAAAAAAACAAAAAAAAAACCAGAAAAAAGGTATTACACTGGCATAGTCACAAGAAGTTTTCACTTGTTAAGCATTAGCTTGCAATAATCTAGTGGCATGCTTCTAGAAAATAAAATCACTGAAAAAATATAATATATCAAATATTTTCTCCTTTACTTATCTAAAGGCTCAAGTACAGTCTGAAAAAAAAGTATGAGGCAGCTCTAAACAAAATCAATTATGTATATAAAATTATAATTCCGATACCAAAACCAAAGACAATACTACTCTCTAAATCCTGCTCCACAGAGATACTAATATTGACACTGGTAAACATCAATGCAAACATATCTCCATGTATATATAACAACAGGGGATTGATGGAAGGCTAGAAAAAAATAATTTTGTAAGAATGGCATTACACTCAACACAAATATATACAAATATATATTTTAAAGATGCCTAATAGCATTCTTCTCAGGTGTCCACTATTTTTTACCCTTTAAACATGAACTAGGTTAAGTTTTAAACTTTTCATGCCACTACAATTGGAATATACTCCCCTTATAAGTCTTTTTTTTAAAGACAGAGTCTCACTCTGTCACCCAGGCTGGATTGCAGTGGTACAATAATCACTCACTGCAGCCCTGAACTCCTGGGTTTAAGTGATCTTCCCATTTAGCCTCTTGAGCAGCTGGAACTACGAGTGTACACCACCATTCTTGGCTAATTTTTTATAGACAAAGGATCTTGCTATGTTGCCCAGACTAGTCTCAAACTTCTGGCCTCAAGTGATCCTCTTGCTTCAGCCTCCCAAAGCACTGAAATTATAGGCATGAGTCACCACACCCAGCCCCCTTATAAGTCTTGAGTAGAACAGAATTTCTCCAAGGTCTGAACAAATGATGACACTTGATAAAACTTTTAGAAAATCAATTCCAAAGTTCAATCATTGAAAGATAAGAGAAATGCATTTAAAAATGATAATGGCAAGAGCGATATTAAAGAAACTAATAATTTTTTATCTTGAGACAAAAACCCAGAGTTTCAGACTTAGAACGAATAATAAAATTCATCCCATTGATGAATTGATAGCAATTCTTTGATTTCACTTTTGTATCAAATAATAACCTTTTATTAATTTGAAGTGAACATAAGAATACATACCATAAAATAGTCATATTTCTTAACAACTTCTGTGCCCACCAAAAAAAGAGTTTAAGTTATGAATACGTACATAACTAAGTTTCCATTACAATATCTCTGGCTCTGCAAATATGCAAATTTTTGTCTTGCTTAGTTTAGGACCTAGTTAATGAAATGTTATTTTAAAAATTACTATTCCTCCTGCCCTTGTCTACACAAAGAAAGAAAGTAACAGGAAACTGAGGTTTACAATTATACATGTAATGCCAAAAACTGAGAGTCCAACCTTCACTAGATCATCAAAACTATACATTCCTATTTGTCCCTGTAAAAACACAGAGGAGAATTAAATGGTAACTAGATTTCACTTTTAATGAGACAAATTAGAGTTACCATGAAAACATCATGAACTTGTGCCACAAATAAAAATTTATATTATCATTTAAGCCAAACCTACTGAAAAAGACTGCTAACAGTCACTAGTAGTCATTTTGAGACTCATAAGGAAATTTGTTAAGAATAGTTTAGTCAACACAAAAGCCCTGATTTACATCTTGTCTCACTGTGTTTATTGGTAACCAGTTTGGGAGAAAAATGTTTTTGGTAATGTCACTAGAATTATTTAGAACATTTTACTGTAATTAGTAAATCAGGTTTTCAGAGGTGGTAGTCAACTATATAGCACATAGGTTAACTTGGGATACTGAACTATGTAGTATGAATGATATTATTTATAGAAACTATCAAAGGCTTTCCTGCATACCTTAGACTGAAAACTGTATTAGGTTTACATTTTCACAAAAAAGGCTTTACTTCTCAAGCAACAAAACTATTTTTGGCTGATGAAAACCTAGCTATATTTACTAACTAAAATACAGCATTATAGTTATCAGCTTCTGCTCCCTCTGTGTTCTAAAGACAAGAAATCTTTAAAAAAATGTGGCTTCATGAGGGACAGGGGAGGGAGCAACATTTTCCACCACATACCATTTTATATTTTGTTTTTACATTTATGAAAGTACTACCAATTTGAAAAAAATTTAAATATGTATTTCCATCATCATTGCTATAATGTTTAATAAATGATTCTTAAAAGAAAAAAAAAGAAATACTTAGAAAACTTGATCAATACTTGGTCACTTTAATGGAAGAAGGGGGGGACTACTAAAGGTAGCAACAATGTGCATCTGTCCCAGAATTCTGCCAGGTGCTGGTGTCAGAGTGAAGGGCAAGAGGACACAGACCTCACCTTCTGAAAGTTTATGGCCTACTGGGCAGAAGGTCAATGAACTCCACTGTCTGGATCTTTTCTAATGAAACCAACCACCCTTTCTCGGCTTTTCCTAACTCTCATTATCTGTCATACCATCAGCACCCAGGAGACTTACAGATTGGCCTTTTCACAAAAACCCCAGTTTTTAGTAAAATATCCCAAATATGGAAAATATAGACTTAATGATCATTAAGAATATGGATTTAATGACTCCACATCACCTTTACTTCAGGGACACTAACCTCAAAAAAAGCCAAATTCAGAATGAACATTTCTGAGTCTTTAAAACCAATTTGAATTCCTGTACTAAAAAATTGCATTTGAATTTATAGTTGTCTAAAGATTTAAATCTCATTTAAGTTTAGATTTGTAACGATATGATCTCTAAAAAAAAGGCCAAGTGCATCAGAAAACACAGTCTGTAAAGTGGTAGGTTATGAGGAAACTGTCAGAGAGGAAGAGGTAGCCCTCTTCCTGTTTAAAGCTGATGCATCTCTCTACCTGTGTTTCAGATCCTGTTCAGAAACCTTACTTTATCAACTATTCCCTTATCTCATTTGCCTCCAATTTCTTCCTATCGTTCACATATAGAAATCCTCATCTCTGATGGCTAACAACAAGCAAACCCCCTCAATTGGACATTAACCTATCCCACTCCTCTTCACAGCCATGCTTATGGCTTCCTGCTTCCATTCCCTTGCCTCTCATCCATTCTTTCTTTGTACTTCATAAACATAGCAAAAGTGAAAATATATTATTTTGTTCATTCTGTTGTGAATTGCTTTTAATATACAGCCTTGATGTATTCCATTGCTAGGTGTCAAAATGTTGGTATATGGAATAAACCTCAGCTCGTATACGGATAAATGTGACAAATAAGCCCCCAAATCACAGTAAGGTCATATCATATCTGTCTTAATGTATACCTTGGAACTAATGCTAGAACATACTTTTAGGATACACTTCCATTATTTTATTTAATCTGCACAAGTAAATTCTCAACATTCATCACAGTAAAAGAGGCTTAATGTTAATACAAAATAGAATAGACCTAAAGTGAGAACTCCTTAGCTTTTTCCACTAATTTCCCCACTTACCCAGAAAGAACTGAAAAGTGGTCTTAAAAACAAAAGTTTTGAATGACCAGATAACTGCATACTATTTTTGTTCCTTTTATATGTTAGGTCTTTAGTTCCTAAACTCCTGATGGGCATATGAATAACTCTATAGAGGTGCACATACAGAAAAACTAAAAACATTTAAAATTCTCCTTGAAAGATTTTCTAGGACAAATTTTACTACAGGTGACTCCATTATATCTGAATTCCTTTAAGTTAAATGCAGGTAAAATGGGATTCTACTTAAATTAATCAGATTCTCTTTTCTAGTTTATCCTAAGAGACATATCTCTTGAATGCTTACCTTAAAATTAATTTGCATCATTGGGAGCAGATGAACCAATGAACTGCACATGTCTGTAGTGATGAGTGAATTAATTTCTGGTATACTGAGGCATTGTAATGTTTTATATTTTTCTTGGGACATGGCCACTTTTGAACCTAAAACATCAGCAATAGCTATAGGCAAAGGAAAAAGTTAAAAACAGTAAAATTAAAGTTTGTGAACAAAGTCACAGCTTAATCAAATTTTAAAATAAGAATTTACCAAATAAAAGGAAATTTAAAACAGTCACACTTTTACTATAATTTCTAAAAAAGGCTAAGTAATTTTGTTGGCTTACTGTGTGGAGTAAATTGCAAGAAATCCAAATAATTCATTTGTGAAGGCCTATTACTTATTATTTAAAAACTACAAAAATGTGCAGAAAGGAGTAGAGGAAGGGAAGGAACTAAATGTGAAGGAGTTAAAACCTTGGTTTTATCACTTTATATCTTAATGTTTGACATAATATGACCATACTTAAGAAGGAATGAAAGAACTTTGCAAAATAGCACATTACAACCTATACAAACTATAATTATATATCCAGAAATCATTTAGGAATAAACATTTAAAATGTTCTCTAAAATAACTGATAATTATCAAATAATACAGCAGTACAGTTATTCATTAGTCATCTTTCAAGGTTTATTAAAAATAACAATGTAGCATGGGCATCTGCTCTACAAACTTCTTGTAGCTTTAAAGGCTAAGCTAAACATGCTTATCAAATGTTTCCATAAAGTTAAGCCTTTCAAAGTTTAAATGTATCAAACTATCAAATTTTTCTTCCAAGTTCAGAGACAATATTGAATCATTTCAGGAAATAATTATCAAATGCAAGCAAGAGTAGAGACTAGAAAGTCTTTATGCAAAAATAATCTGATCTTTATAATATATTGATGTAAATTAGACACCACTACCACGCACCTAGGAAGACTTTTTCTTTTCCAATAGAGTAAGTGCCACAGACAACAAGAGCACGTGGGTTTAGAGTTACAGTCTCAAAGGCAGTGTTGATAGCAAACTGGATAACCTCTTGCTGAGATGGAAAGGTGTATTCTGGGCTACAATATCTGTAATATGGAAACACAGTACTTATTAAGAAAACAGTAAGAAGGTCATAGCCTTAAGTTGGATGCTATTTTAGAAAACAAGCTTTAGAAAATTACACACAACAGCAGTATTCTATATTAATATCCCAACAGTTATTTCACTGTCTATGGTTAAAATTATTTGCTACCAATTACTGCTAATTTATAATGGAATTATAAGTTTTCAATATATCTTTTTCATTATATTTCTTTTATCACCCTCAAATAAAGAAATTACCTTTCTGAGGACTTTTTTTCTCCAAGAATATTTCTAGTGAGCCAGCTATTTTAGCTACAAATTATAAACCCCAATATCTTTTCTTTAACCCCAATAACTATAAAAAAATTCTACTGATAAGGTTTATATTTGGATTAAAGAATCCTGATTTGATTAAGTTATTAAAATAATGAAACAATATTAATTTAATGAAAAAGTTTTAAGTCAGTTAATATTCACATGGTTGATATCATCTCTTCTCACATCCACAAAAAACATATATAATATATATGCAAACATATATATTATATATACAGGAAGACAACAGATTCAGTTGAGTTCATCTCAATACAATAATACCCAGTGGAAAATTAACTCTAACTTATTATATATCAATATTTGAGATTAAAAGTAAGCACTTTTGTACTAAAAATGTAACAAACTATAAATGCCAAAGAAAGATATTTTCCCCACTCTCAAAAGTGTTTTTGCTGGTCAACCACTAGAAAAGAGGGAAAAAAATGTAATCCTTTTTCCTATAAAAACCCACAAAGAAATTTAGAATTGTAAGCAGAACTAAGTAACAAGAAAAGAGTTATTTTTTTACTTATTATTTTCTTATCTAGTACTTAAACTACATATACAAGAATGGAAAAATTAGTTACAGTGTAAGAAAACCGAATGTTGAAAGACCACCTTTTACTAAAATATCCCATCCAAACTTACTTCTTGAAACAGGCTTAGTTAAGATAATTAATTTTTATTAATTATCTATTTTCTAGCAGATTGGTGAGATATTTTAGTATATAATATTACATTGCATACCATTAAACATATACAATGTTCATGTCATTTATACCTTAATAAAGCTGGGAATAAATTTATACATAATATTACAATATAAATATAATATACCATGACATTTATACCACCTAGGAATTCAAAGTTGTCATTTATAAATTGTCTTTTTCAAAAAAGAACAAAAATAACTTGGAATACTCAGAATCACATTTTGGCCTCTGTTTTCTCTTCACAGTGATACTTAACAGCTATACAGATACTTTGAATGGATAGCCTTAAAAGCATATTTTCCCAAAGCTTGCCCCTAAATTTTTCTTCCTTGTTTCAGTAACAGGATTCTCATATAAGTGTATTTACAAAAAAAATTGAGCTGTGATCAGTTAAGACAGGCAATCCCAAATTTGCTCTCAAGTATATATTTTTTCAAACTGTATCTCTCTAACAGCTTTAAAATAATAAGTGACAACAAGCCATCATTTTGATTACCATAATACACAGAGCAAATGCTAACAGTGGGAAAAGGAAGCACACAAAGAAAGCCTCTCTTACGTTGTATCTAAGTACAGCATGTGGACTTTCTGGCCTGCAAGAAGAGAACGTTCCATGCTGGGATCTGCTCTGAAGTCTCCAGTATGTAATATGACAGTACCATTAGGAAGATGAAAAAGGATCATAACAGCACCTGGACAGCTGAACACAAAATTTCAAAGGAATATTCTCAACACAGGCAAAGTACTTTTACTAAAGGAAGAGTACCTATTTCAATATCAACAAGTAAATAACACACTTTATTAGCTGACCACAATAACACTGCATTGTACTACAGAGGAAATACAGTCCTTAAACTCAAGGAAATTTACACCATAAAAAGAGTTGGTATGAAGAAAAGAATCAACCCTTGGCTGGTTTCTGGGAAATGAGCTCTGAACCCTTGGAATATTCTGAGTAAGTTTTTATACACCTGAGGCATTGGGCTACGTGATATTAGCTTGATCTAATAGTTTATGCTAACTATGTGATCTATGATAAATACCAATAAAGTTGATCTTAAGAATCAGACTCAAATTGGTTATTAAAAAAAAGGAACAGGCTGGGCTCGGTGGCTCAGTCTGTAATCTCAGGACTTTGGGAAGCCTAGGCAAGTAGATTGCCTGAGCCCATGGGTTTGAGATCAGCCTGGGCAACTTGGCGAGACCTCATCTCTACAATAAATCAAAAAATTAGCCAGGTGTGGTGGCATGCACCTGTAGTTCCAGCTACTTGGAAGGCTGAGGTGGAAGGATTGCCTGAGACCAGGAGGTCAAGGCGGCGGTAGCTGTGAGCATGACACTATACTCCAGCCTGGGAGACAGAGTAAGACTCTGACTCAGAAAAAAAAAAAAGAAATAAAGAAAAAGAAAAAAGAAACAGCAAAGTTCGCAGACAAAAACTTAAAGAAAAGAAACCTGCAGTCATAGCATTGGCCTGGATTTTAGGAAAACTAAATTTAGTTTTTACTTCTTTCTCTAAATATCTGTGATCTCTATGGTACAGAATGTTAACAGTCTACGGAAAGTAGAAAGAAGTATAGTTGATAGTCTTTACAATAGAAATGCTGATAGTCGTTTACATTAAAAGGAAAAAAAGAGAGGGAAAAATGGAAACCATTTCCAAGAATAAAAATTTTCCAAATTTTTAGTATCTAAAATATGAAGGTTTTCTTGATTTAAAAGGGTGAAACAAAACCCAACCCTCTAGTATCTGAATGGTGTACAAGCTGTTAGTTTATATAAAAGACATTAAAGAAAGTGACAAAAGGTAATCTTGCAAAAAACAGCTAAAAACATGTTAAAGTATTTTAAAAAAATGATGGAGTCTCATATGCCAAGTGTAGCAATTTAAAAGTGGAATCAAAAATGGGTTAGAAAACACTTAGAAGATCTCTTTACATTTAATCCCTCATTCCATAATTGGGCCAATTATTTTTTCCAAAAGGAAAAATGCATCTTACTCAAGTTTTAAGAAATATCAAGCATGTTAGTTCTAATTTTAAAAGTCCTTAAATAACTATGACAATGTGTTTTCCTTTTGAATATTAAAAAAAAAAAAGGGCAATTATTAAGCTGACTAATACTTACTGGTTGGCATCAAGCAACGTAACTTTGACACCACTAACGATGCATTCAGTGTCCATTGGCAACGGATGGATGTATTGTTCTTGCACATGAAGCTTGTTTTTCACCAAATTGCCAGTTATCTGCAAAACAGGATGTACTTATTGCTAATACAGTAAAATACTAAGTTAAGTATTTGATTCCCTATCTAGTTTAGAACTACAGCATCTTAACATCCCTGTTTTCCCACTTATCTTTAATTAAGTAAATCCTCCACAATGCCAAGAAGAATTTGATTGTCATTACCTTGCTTGAACACTAACACTGATTCTGCCTCACTTGTGAAAAGTCCATCATTCCTAGCATGACATACAAAACCCTTTGTAATCTGGTCCTTGTCCATTCCTGCTATTCCCTATCTTGCATTCTAGTCATTCTGAATTATTGAAAGTGTCTGGAGTGGGCATATATCTCAAGCACCTGTGCCTTTCCATAAACTCTATTCTCTATCTGGAATGCTTTCTCCTCTTTCTTCTATCTGGTTCTGGAATCAGACAAACCTGCACTCAAATTTGAGCTTTGCCATTTGAGCTCTGTGACCCAGGACATGCCACTTAACTTCTCCAAACCTAGTTGCTTCACTAGTAAAAATAGGATACTTCAAGAATGCTATGGAGAGTAAATCAGTTTCTACCTATAGCCCTTAGTAGTAGGCATTTAAAATGTTCACCTTTTAATGAGTTCCAGGTATCACTTTTACCACAAAACTGTCTGTAAACATAGCCCAGGACAGAGTAAAACATTTCTTTCTCCCTACTCCTCAGCACTCTGTTCATTTTTCTACAATATCAATCCCATTGTGGTATTCCTTATGAATGACTGGAGGCTATAAGTTCCTTGAAGTTAGGTACACTCATGTCCCTTGGTATGCACAGGGGATTTGTTTCAGGATCCCCTAAGGATATCAAAATCCAGGGATGCTCACAACATTCACGTGAGATGGCATAGTATTTGCATATAAACTATGCACATCCTCTTTAAATAATCTTTAGATAACTATAATACCTAATACAGTGTAAGTGCTATGTAAATAGTTGTTACACTATATTCTTAAAATTTGTATTTTTTTATTGTTGTTACTTTTTATTTTTTAATCTTTTTGATCAGTAGTTGGTTGAATCCATGGATATGAAACCCACAGATATGGTAGGCCAATTGTATTTTGCCTTGGATATCCATTTAGGCATTCAATGAATGTTTACTAAATGAAACTTGGGTTTTTAGTACATCAAGAAATAGCTTATCTATTGTTTCCATGTAATAAAACATACATTTTTTTTAAAAAAACGGGAACTGTTAACATTAACTCATTTAATTTTAGAACTTCGATGTGGAAATGTTTTTCTCTTCTCTCTTCTAGAATGCGAGCTCTCACTGTTTTAATGATTCTTTTCTAACCAAATTGCTTAGGAATTCACAGCATTCTACAGAGTCAGAATTCAGAATACAAAAACTTACCTCACTACAATAAATTGGACATGTGAAATGTTTAGACAATCCAGCATAATGATCAGAATGAAAATGTGTGAGAAAATAGGCTGTACAGCCTTCAACCAAGCCATACTGAAAGGCATCAACTGTAAAGCCAGTTCCTGCAATGAAAGTACCAACACAGCAGGTTGAGCAAGAGCCAACAATGTAAAAGATACCTGATTCAATGATAAATATTAAACCCTCCAACTTCTGAACATCTCATTTCCAGTTTAGCTGTAATTTATCTTAAGACTTATACCACATAAATTTATCAAAAGGTGATAATAGAGATAAGATGTTTATAAAGTTTCTATTAAATATCCCAGTAACAGACTTTTTTTTGAATAACTGCACCAAAAAAAAAAAATATTCAAAATACTAAGCTATAAACCAACCACTTCGTCTTAATTAATTCCAGCCACTTGGAAGGCTGAGGCGGAAGGATCGCCAGAGCCCAGCAGGTAGAGGCTGCGGTGGCCGGGAGCGGCCACTGCACTCCCGTCTAGGTGACAGAGTGAGACTCCAATTCAAAAAAAAAAAAAAACTTTCATGATACTTACTGAGCACCTGAAGTCCTGCAAAATGGTAAAATGAGAATGCTTTCTTCTAAAGCATGAATCCTCAATAGGGGCAATACTGATCTGCTTATAAAGGAGCAAAAATGGCTGAGGGTCAAAATAATCTCACATATTATTACAAAATTTTGCAGCCTTCCAAAGAGACACAGTAAAACAAAAGACAAAGTCTGTCTTTGAATTTCACAGCAGGGTGGGATTAAGGACTGGGGGAAACCAAGAAAAAAAAAAGCCCAAAAGGCTTCCTTGAGGAGCAGTGTTGAAAAAGAGGTTGAAAAACACTGTTCTAAAATGTGTTCATGCAAGAAATAACCAAGTGTGCTGCCTGGTGATCTGCAAGTAATATGCAAGCAAATAGGTGCAATTTCTCAATTCTATTCTAACATACAGAATATTAATTTTAGGCTCACTTAAAGTACAGAAAATTAATCAAAATAATTAAGAACAAAACTGGTGGTATGATGTATGTAAATGCAGTTCTCTACATACATATTTTGAACCAATAATATATCTTGAATATCAATAAAGCACTTAAAAATCTTTCTGAACTGAGTATATTTTGACTGCTTTTATACGCTTTTCAGAAGAGTTATTGGTTTCTTCAGTAACAAAATTCATTTCGCTACACATTTTCTACTCACTCATCTGTGACAGCATGAGAAATGATAATATGAAAAGGCAGAGAAACTAAGTTCTGAAATAGCTTTTAAATGTTTTGCATTTATTATATGTACAACCTGTGACATTTCCCTTCTTTGAAGCTATTTAGTACTTTGTCTTTCTCATAAGCACTTAGAGAACACCTTTTATTAGTCATTAACTGAGATGCCTTTCTTCCTTCTGTATGAAGCTGAATCTCTACTACTCTCTAACCTTTCTATAATCGATGCTACCTAACTAGTACAGTAACTTATATAGAAAACATGTTTAATAAAAGGTTACTGAATGGATTAGAGCAAATAAATCAAATCGGCAAAAAACACTTCTATGTTAGAGGCTCATTAGGTATCATAAAAAGCAAACACATACAAAACATGGTTTCATATACACACACACACACACACACACACACACACACACACAGACAATGAATGTGAAGCTCAAAAAAGTTGTTGATATACCGAGTGTTGATAATTCAACTTACCAGGTATTTTCTTATAGAATGGGCATGTTTTTTTTCTAAATTCTTCTACATTAGATGACTCTGGGATTTTCTTGTTCCCTCTTTGTAGCCTGCCATGAGTTGATTTTGTGAAGACTTTGTTTTTCCTTAAATGGACTGTTCCACATTCTGTATTGTTAATAAAGTAATCTGGCCTTTTCTGATGTGCTCCTTCCTGCAGCAAATTTGACTTTTTAAGTCTCTTTCTTTGACGCTGTGACCTCTGACTAGAAAGTTCCACAGAAAGCTGACTGACATTTAAATTCTTTGCATCAAATTCTAAATCACTTAAAGATTTTTCTGCTTTCCTCTTGTACTGCCGGGACCTCTTTTCATTAGGACTTAGTACTGGATTTAAGTTTATCCTTTCGGATGCACTTTCCTCTGGCAATTTTTCTTCTTTTCTTTTGGGTGGTAGTCCAAAATACACACCTATATCTGTTTGCTTCATTATCTTGGTAGAAGGATATCTTGCATTACCCTTAAGACCAGAAGGCAGTATTTTCAAAGATGCAGCAGCAGGTGTATGAGAACATTTTTGAGTATTTAACACTGTAACTTTACTGTCCAGCATACCATCTGCCTTTCTGCAGAAACCTGCTGAGTTAGTATTGTTCTTAGAACTGAATTTCTCACATGATAATACTCTAATTTTACTTGGAGTTGGTTGGAAAGAATGGTCTCCTCCTCCCTGGCTTTCAGAAGGTTTTGACATTTCACTCTTAGCTAAAGGAAGAGAAACTTGATTGTAAACAGCTGATTCTCCAATTAGCCGTTTCTGTTTATTTGACTGGGAGGAGTAAAATTCTTGCTCATCAGCTTTTGCTTTAGTGGCTTGGTGATTAGAAGCAGCAAGCTCCCCTGAGAATGCAGGTGGAAACAACAGAAAATCAACAGTATATGCTGGATTATAAGGCAAAATACAATTCTCATTATTTTGGGAAGCAAGTTGAGATGAACCATTTCGAGTACTGTAGCTATGCAATCCTTGGTCATACTTATTCTGAGTTAGGAAGAGATTCACTTCAGGGCAGCTCTCCTCCAGGTCCTTCAGTAAGGTACTATGTGGTCTTTCAAACAAAGCAGAGTTGCTGTCACCATCATTTAGGCTGCCATCTTTAGAGCTTTCAGTAAGACATAGTTCCTGCTGTGAATCGTCCAGTTTTTCATCTCTCTCATGAGTTTCTTCATCACTTGGAAGTGGAGAATAGGAGATTTCACAGTCGCTAAAGTCATTTTCTGGCAATGGCAAATTTACATGTCCTGAGTTGTTTTGGCTATCTAATTCTTCATCAGCAAGAGGCAAACCAACTCCTACCAGTTTCTCATTATTAACAAATTTTGTAAATTGTAGCACTTGTTGAGGTGTTTGGATATTTGAAGAAGAGGAAAAATTTTTATTGCTTTCAGATGGAGATTGAGATTTTCTTAAACAATTTGTCAACAACAAGGGATCATTTGAAACATTTTTTAAGTTCCCAGTTTGTTTCTGATCCAGGGACCATCTTTCCTCAAGGCTACAATGAAAGCCTGAATTAATCTCATTGAAGCTACCACCTGATGCATGCGATGGGCTGCTAAAAGGACTATTACTAGCCCTACTTTGAGCTAGCTGGAAGTGAGTGTATCTCCTATAATGAGAAGGAATTGTAGAGGTGCACAGAAGACCATCAGGACACTCTGAAAAGAAAAAAGTATTACAGGATCAAAGCAAAGACTAAGTTTTGACAATATCAGATGTATAAATTAACCTGTAAGTGAAAAAATTGTCAGTCCTGCTTTGCAGTCTTAGGACAAAGGCTATTTTTAACTGCACAATCAAAAGATCAGCATAAACTAGTAATACTTTATCTAGCATGGTTTTGCAAGGTGCTGGTTATTAGTTTCAAATCAAATACTCTTAAATTTCTTTTCAAATATTCTTTTCTCAAATATTTTTTAAGACTAACATCTTTTTTTCTTTCCTAAATAATTCCCACAAACTGTGAGGCCCTTCCTTGAAAATGCATATCTTTTTTACCCAGAGTATTTCCTAAATAGGTACTACAAACAGACCCCATCAGTTTTACTAGTTCACTATTGCTCAGGCAATAAAGAGTAAAGGAGATTAACATATCTCTCACAGAACTAAAATTCTACCAATTTTATTGTATTAAACAATAAAGATTTATGATAACTAATATCAAATTAGTTTCCATTGTATACAATTTTAAAAAGTAACAATCTTCATGAAATTGTTCATACAATAAACAGATTTTAGATTCCACTCTAAGACTTGAAATTCAATTTGACAAACTGGTTAATGGTAAGTCTTTAAAAATTTGGAAACGATTCCCCATCATACTATTATGATTGAGAAACTTTCTGTAAACCATTTAGGCAAATCCCCAAGTATGTTAATCTCCAGGTTTATAAAACAATGACACCCTTACCCCCCTTCTAGTTTACATTGACTAGAAGACTTCTTGGTTTAAAACCTAACTTAAAACCACCTCGTGAAAATATCTATTATAGAACAAAATTCTAGAGTCCATATTAGAGTCTATTAAAATAAGTTTAATCAGTGAAAAAGAGTAAAAAAAAAAATCTTTTTGAAGTGGTTTCGTCTATAAGACATTTCGTCCTGAGGTACTCACCATGGATTTCAATTTCCATTCCTGATTATCAAGGAAACTACTGGCATTTAATGAGGTTTTCACTTGAGATACATAGATAGATATATATAGAGATTATATATATATATGTGTGTATATATCTATCTATCTATATATATATATTTTTTTGCGTTGGAGTCTCACTCCATTGCCCAGACTGGAGTGCAGTAACACACTCACGGCCACCTCAGCACTCAGCATCGACCTTCTGGGCTCAGGTGATCCTTCTGCCTCAGCCTCCCAAGTAGCCGGAACTACAGGTGCACACACTACAACTGGCTAATTTTTTACTTATTGTAGAGATAAGGTCTCGCCAAGTTGCCCAGGTTGTTCTCAAAACTATGGGCTCAGGCAATCCCCTCACCTCGGCCTTCCAAAGTGTGGGATTACAGGCTTGAGCCACCACACCCAGTCCATTTGCTATATTTTTATAGGAAAGGCTAATGCCAAAATTTTTTTTTAAAGAGTTCTCTTGCATCTTCATGCAGTACTTTAAAATAACTAGAGGTTAACAATAAAATGTATTCTGAATCATAGTTAACATGAAAAACATATTTACTGAATTTTAATTTTTTTCACTATGTATGGTATACATGATAACTTTAAAATATACAAATCATTACAACAACCCATTCTCCACATGTTCCAAGCAGAATTTTCTATATGTTAAATAAAACTTATTATGTACTTTTAAATATAAAAACATAGCATACTTTTGTTATCATCTGTCACATTTTTATTGTTAGAATCTTAATGATCTAAGACTTACTCCCAGTTGTTTCCTGTATATTGGCACAACGAATACAACAAAGTCACATTTAGCAACAAGACTATATTTATTCTTTTCTATATAGTTCCCTAAAAGATAAAAATTGGGCAGATTATTTAACTGTTAAGAACTCTATAAAATGTCCATACCACCTACCTTATATGGTAGTTGTGAGACTCAAGTAAGTAAACATTGTAAAAGTACCCAGCATGGTAAGGGGTTCAATTATCATTGATTAAAAAAAAAAACTGAGATGTTCAGGAACTTTTGTGAAATTAGAAAATGTATCTAAACCGTTTTCAAGTCTGCAACTTTCTTTTTTTTTTTTGAGTTGGAGTCTCACTCTGTCGTCTAGACTGAAGCGCAATAGCATGCTCCCGGCCACTGTAGCCTCGACCTGTTGGGCTCCAGCCATCCTTCCGCCTCAGCCTTCCAAGTAGCTGGAACTACGGGCGTGTGCTACCACACCCGGCTAATTTTTTTAAAATTTATTTTAGAGATGAGGGCTTGCCAAGCTGCCCAGGCGGGTCTCAAACCCGTGGGCTCAGGCAATCCACTCATCTCAGCCTCCCAAAGCACCACCAAGCCTGACCTGCAACTTTCTTTACAATTATACCATTGACTGGTATAGTGTCTCATTTTATGGCACCTCACCTCTTTTTTAGTTAATTGCTTGCCTTGCCCGCTTACCTGAGTTGATATGTCTGACATGATGCAGGCCCTTTAGATTTAGAAACGCTACCAATTCTTCAATCTTACCTTCTTCAGAGATTGGTGGAGAATCCAAGCATTCAAAAACATGCCATCGTGGTGTTTGACCTAGCAATGAGGAAAAAGGCATCTGGCAGTTTGGACAGTATCCATCATAAACTGGACGTATCTTTGGGGACACTTGTTTGTTTTTGTGAGTTCTACAGAGTTTTCTTGGAGTGGTCTCTTTGTTTTGGGACTGCTGAATACCATCTCCACAACTTGAATTCTGACTAGAAGCCACAGAAGTCTGACAATCTGCTTCTCCAAGGGACATTTCATGGTCCTTCACCTTCCCTCTGGCTTCTATGGTTCTTTTTCTGTTTCGTTTTGAATGGTATTTACCATCTGTTGCTTTTTCAACAGATTTTGGAATATTTTCAGAGCAATTATTTGGATCAACTGGTTTTGGTTTTCTTTTAGATTTGTATTCCCAAATGTCATCTTCTAAAAAAGCATCTTCTAACATGGTAAGGTGATTTTATCATTAAAGAAGCACTCGAGTCCATTTCTTGTCACAAAATTTTTAAAATGGGGTTACTTTGTTGAAGAAAACAAAAACAAAAAGTAGCAACCCCTCCCCACCCACACACAATGGGAATCTAATGCTGTGGTAATGAATATTATCTAATGCTGTGGTAAGCTACAAACCCTATACCTGAGAATACCTGCCGTTCCATTTATACCACAATATAATCAAGAGAACCTATCACAGGGGTCACAACTGTGAAGTTGCCATTGTGGCTGTTATTTTATTCAGTCTCTTGGCCTCTTCCAGGACTTGACTCATAAAAATAATACTTTGAAAATTAAACACTAATGGGAAATATAGGTTCAACAGCTTAATCTTAGAATGAGCTTTGTAAAACTCTTACAAAGCTACTGTCAGCTGTCTTTCAAGGACACAACTGCCCAAATAATTTACAAATCCGATCACAATCCCTGGACAAGTAGCTCAACAAGTGTTCTAAACACTAAATGACCACCTCAGTGTAATTCGCAAAAAAACGTAATTGCGCCTATCCATGACTCGTGGATATTCAACAACTTGTTTTGCGGGACAGTTCATGATCTTTCTCCAGCAGCAATGAACAAACCCTGCAAACAAAAGGTTAAAATATGTTAAGTCGTGCTTGTACTCAGGTCAGGCTTCGAACTCTGGACCGCAGAGGTGGTCTGTCCCGAAAGTAACCAGCCCTCTCTCCACCAGCCTCAAACCCGAGGTCACTTGCCACAGGCCTCCCACTGCCTATGCCTTATCCTTCGGCGTTGGAGGCCGCAAGGCCCGTGAATGGAGTCTTAACCCTCTCCAGGTTAAGCACAGGCCCGACAAAAAGGCGGTCAGAGCTCCCCCCCTTCTGAAGACTGTGAAGCACACCCTCAAGGACCCTCGGCGCCGCCCACGTGCCACCTGCACCCCTGGGAGCAGCTCCAGCTGCATCCGCTCTTCTGGCTTCCCCACCCGGGCTCGGCTGACGACCTATTCGCGCCCGCACTTTCAGTACTCCCCGGGTGACAAACCACTATATTTATGTATAAGTCAAAGCCACGAGCCAGTCACTCTCAACTTTAAGAGCCTTCTCCCTTGAGGATATCCCTACCTCTGCCTTTAGTGTCTTGGCGGGAACTGCTTCCCGCTGCCAGCGCGGTGTCGAATCAGCGGATCCCGGTCTCAGAGCGGGACTTTAAAAAGAATAGTTGAGTGTTCCCTCTTAAGTCCTACGGATTTATTTTATTTTATTTTTCTTCTAAAGCCCGCTAATTTCCAAAGGGGGAGGTGGGGGCATGGCTCCTTTAACGCTTCTAGGACGCTGTCCCAGAGGCCTTTTCCATGTTGAATCTGGCGCTCTCAATGTCCAGGCTCGGCTGTGGCGAGAGGACCCAGAAGGGGCGGGGTGGGCGGGGACGGTAGTTTAATTACGTGCCCGGGAACTGCGGCGATCTGGATTCTGGCATTCGGGTGTACGCTTAAAAAAGCCGACAGTGTCACTGGCGTGGAGTGGGGCCGGGGGAGGGTCAAGTGAATGTGCCGTTTGGAAACCAAAGGACAGTAAACTTTTCGTCTCGCCCCCGGCGGGGCTCGCCCGCGGGCCGTCGGCCGCCTCGGGAGCCGGAGAGAACATGGCGGCGCCGGAAGCCCGGGGCCACAGCCTCTCGGGCCTGCTCCCCGCGCAGACCTCGCTGGAGTACGCCCTGCTCGACGCCGTCACCCAGCACGAGAAGGACAGCCTGGTCTACCAGTATCTGCAGAAGGTGGACGGCTGGGAGCAGGATTTGTCAGTGCCCGAGTTTCCGGAAGGTGAGGGGCTGGCGTCGGGGTGGGGACCCCCGCCGGGCCCTCCCCTTCCTTGGGGACGGCGC